CCCGGGGCTGCTCCTTCCCAGGGGATGGAGAGAACCCGACCGGGTGGGAGAACCCCACTGTGGGGCCCGGCCCCGAGGGAGCCCCGTGCCTCCAGGTGTGGGCTCCGGGCCGTGGCCTCCCCTCTCCCAGCTGCCAAGTCCTCCTCGGTCCCACGTGGGCGCCGTCTGTCCCCCCGGGGTCTGGGCTGTGGGCGGGGCCGTGCAGGGCGGCAGCGCCGTCTCCCTCCCCCAGGTGATCCAGCGCAGGGTGGACGGCTCCGTGGACTTCTACCGGGACTGGGCCGCCTACAAGCAGGGCTTCGGCAGCCAGCTGGGCGAGTTCTGGCTGGGCAACGACCACATCCACGCCCTGACCGCCCAGGGTAGGGCCTGGGCCCCGGCCTGGGGGTAGGGGCCCCGAAACTCACCTGCCCTGACCTCCGACCTGGCCCCCTGGACGGAGCCCGCTCCTCCACCCACACGTGCTGCCTCTGAGGACAGGAAGGTCCCAGCGGGAGCGGGGGGCGTCAGGGCCAGAGGAAGTGGGCTTGTGGGGCAGACCTCCTCCGGTCACGGCCGCTGGCATCTCAGAGGCCAAATCGGGGGGGACACGGAGGCCCTGGTCGGGATCCGGCCCAGCGCCCAGCCCTGCCCTCACCGCCCACCGTGCCCCATCCCTGAACACATATGGGAGGCTGCAGCAAACCCACCTCCCTGGGAATACTGTGGGCCCCTTCTCTCTGGGCCTGGAGGGAGGGCTGGGGTTTGGCTCAGACCCTGGGAGCACATGCCCCCACCCCTCAGCGACCGGGACTTTCTGGGGGACCTCGAGGGTCGTGCTGGGTGCCCAGTGCAGCTCGTCCTGGCAGCTCAGGGTCCCTGCTCCTGGACTGAGGCCCTGCCCCCCCGCAGGCACCAACGAGCTCCGTGTGGACCTGGTGGACTTCCAGGACACCCGCCACTTTGCCAAGTACCAGTCGTTCAGGGTGGGGAGCGAGGCTGAGAAGTACCAGCTGATCCTGGGCGCCTTTGTCGGGGGCAATGCCGGTGAGTGTCAGCCGTATGGTGGGTGGTGGGAAGTGAGGGGGGTCAGGGGGGTATGGGCAGTGGGCAGTAGGGGGAGGGCATGGGGGTGGGCAGTGTAGAGCATATGT